GAGCGGTAATACCGAACAGAATAGATGAGAAAAACGCACATAAGGTGCGAATAAGTGCAGACCTCAACAGCTTCAGTTTTATCAAAATCTGCTACCGCAACGAACACCTTGCTCTATCTGTGGATGTTGCAGCTTTGCAGTCAAATAGTGTTCAGTAGGGTGAAATATGCTCTAGTTAAACATATCCAAATTTTGTGCGATTTGGTCTACTAAGAAAAAAGTTATGAACGAAAAAGCTTCAAAGTATTTCACCGAAGACTTTTGAGCGCTACTGTAGATTTTCTTGTCCAGTCCTTTACTGCACAGTAGGAAAAAGTAGCATTAGGAAGTTGACCCTGTGCCGTTCTCTTCACAGACTTCCCCTGCTTGGGCAGCAGAAAATACGGACATATGGAAGTAAAGCTCACTAGCCGAGACACATGTCCTGAGCACCGTCACCTTACCCATTGCAGGAGCTGGGTCATCAAGCAGCGGGTGTTGAGTACAGCCTTCGCTAGTGATAAAGTTGAAGACTGAGAAATGAACTGGAAGGCGTACGTTGAAGTTTTTTTAAGGTCTAAAATTGTAGAAAAAAAGCCTGAAGTTTGACGGAGAAAATGAGAGTAGGGAAAAACTTATGGAAATTGATGAAAAAGCTGTGAACTCACAGAAATGCTGTGATTCAGGAGAAGGCTGAAAGTCGATGGAAAAATGGTAGAGAAACTTAGGAATGTTGATTGATGTAGCCAAAAAGCCCAAAGTCAGTGAAATAGCTGAAAGTTATTGAAAATCTGAAAAATGGTGAAAAAGTTGGAAGAGCGGGAAACGTATCGACATCTGCATAGACCAACCAAACCTTCCATTCTTCTGGGACAGTCGAAAGCGTGGGCCCATCCCTCGAACGGGATCGACTAATTTTCCAAGACTATATTCCTTTAAATTTTGACAGTATTTGCCAGTGCAATCCTAATTCTGAAAAGAAAAGGGAACTAAGCAGAATACCTTTCGTTCCGATAGAAGGAATCTTTCCCAGCTTGTCAGTTCGCTTTGTTAAGTTAAAAAGGTTGGTAGTTCGAATGCTTCAATAAGCTTTTCGTATGGACATATTAACGAATTTGAGTTTTCTCCCATCATTGAATCCCTCTGCTTCCCTGCCCTTTTCCACATTCGAAGATTCCAAAATATCCTTTACGAGCGGCTTTGATATTTGAAACCAGTTTAAAAGAAATTTCTCGTCCAATTTTTCCTCTTCCCTGAAGTGACGGCTTAAGCAGTATCCATTGGCCTTTTTAAGGAAAGAGGATTTCCTGAAGAGGCAATATCGAAGCGAAAGCCTATGGGATCGGCTTATTGTAAAAATATATCTTCAAAAAACCATTTGGTTCAGGAATAAGCCGATTCCGAAGGACTTCCGCTACGATATTGCCTATACAGAAAATCCTCTTTCATTTCTCAAAAGGTCAACGAATACCGCGTGAGCAGTCACTTCAGGGAAGAAGAAAAATTGGTCTAGAATTTTCTTTTATACTGGTTTCAAATATCAAAGGCGCTCGTGGGATATTTGAATATTTGAAAGAAGAAAATCTGCCTAATCTCAGCGCCATCGTATCTTTCTCGACCTCAATTAATTTTATGAAACAGCTCATAAAAACCGGAAGAGAGGCACACAATGAAGGGTGATAAAGGATCAATTCTTTGAAACTGCCCAATCCCGAGTTGGGGTAGGCCAGCGGTTTAACTTACGCTCTGAATCGTAGTGGTAGTGATTGCATAGTGTGTGGCTTATACATACAATGGCTTGCAGTGACCAGCCGATGTACAAGTCAGTGCTTTTATCCGAGATTTCGATCCGAGATTTGAACTTGTGACCATATGAGTGAGACAGTGCGCCACTTGCCACTTCACCAGAAACTCGGAAGAGTTTGTATAACTCGTGTAGACCAAATTCATACTTACAGATGGGTGCTTCGTTTCGCGTGTCCGTCGAAACTAGGTCACGCCGCAGCCATCGCACGCGACGAGTCGGCCCGCGATATTTGACAGACGTCGCAATTGTCAGTGGGACATACGCTTTGCGTTTGGTCCACGGCAGTCAGTTCAAGGAGAAGATAACACAGATAAATGCAAATCATTCGCTCCATTGACACTTGGTGGTACTGTAACGTTATTGCGAGACCTCAGTGGGGTGCGCCGCGCACGAAGTGGGCGGGTGAACTGCTTTCGACGGACGCGCGCAACGGACGTTCTCCCTTACAGAAAGGGTGTAAGCACGACATATCAATTATTCTATGATGTCAGTGATCTACTGTACTTCTTACTGGTTTCTAGGTTCCAAGTAGAAGTACCGATGTAGCTCCTCGATAGGTGGCAAGGCGACAACGAATTCCTACATTTAGTCTATTTTGTCTTACTTCGCCTGTGGTTCCATTTCTGGTGAGCGGCCAAGGCCTCAGGGTCCACAGGCGCAGTTCAGGGGTTCTGAATCCTGAATCCAGCATAAACTTCCCATCTACTATCTCGCCTTTGGTCACCTTTCTGGTGGATAGCCGAGGCCCATGGTCTAGAAGCGCATTTCAGAGGTTCTGAATCCTAAGTTCAGCATAACTACTATTGTAAACCTCCGAGCATTTTGGTAAACCTCTGTGGAAGCCAACCACTGAGCATCCTCTGAGGCATAGCTTCATTCCTTCATCGTTCATCTTTGCATCCACTCACTAGTTCAGATTCGGCATAAACCAAGTAATCACTGGAGAAAGCAGTTCTAAGAATGACAACGCTCAAGAATTCCACGAAAAGCCCTTTAAACGTCCTCGATGAACGTCTGCTGTTGAAGAGTGGCGTGCTGTACTTGTTGTACTTGCCGTAGTTGTCGAAATAATGGCGAGCGATGATCAAAGTTCATCAGCCTTCTACAATCGTCATTTTCAATCCTCGAATGGTTCAAACAATTCAAGAGACGGTACCTCATGGAGTAACCAAATTTCTCGTCAGGACACAGAGTAGTCTCTGGGCACCGCCTGCGGCGTTTCAAGCTCGAATTGCCCCCGGGGCAAGGGAGGCGTGCCGTTGTGGACGCGCCCTCTTCTCGTGTGTCCATCCGGAATTCGTCCGTTAGAGCAATTTGCAGTAACTCAGCGACCGACCCATCAGCTGCTCCAGTCTGATCTAGTGTCACGTACACGATTATTCCACTTATTCTCCTGGAGTCACTCACTCCTAATCCTTGTCTGTGGGAAAAGAGAAAATTCTCGTCTGATACTTGATGTGAGTCTTTTTTTACAATTTCGAGGAAAACTAGCTCAGTCCTTCCGAAGTACTGCAAATTTCATAGGAACTTGGAGACTTTGGCTTGTTTTTTCGTATGAACAAACTTCTACATACCTTCCGACATCTGAGTCTGTGCTGAAGCAGTTCCTCAGGGAGGGCGTGTGACTTACAGACTTGGATGAAGGCGAAGTCGACTTCCCGTCTCCTGACCTCTACCCTTACCTACTTTCATATTTGCGCAGCTTTAAATGTACTCACTCTCAAGTCGAACAGCTCCGGGATGATGGCAGGGGCTGGGGAGGGAAAATGGGGAAATCTCAGAAAAAGTCGTAGGGTTCAAGGCCGTCGGGGTGAGGGTTTCATGGTCGAACAGAAGTGAGGTTCCACCATTGCATGAGAGAGAGACGGAGAGAGTGGAGGGTGGCTGTGGAGAGCGCCTGATTCTCGATTACTTTCACTTTAGAATTTAAAATCAAAATACAATTTAGGATTTGGAATTAGAACTTTAAAGCATGGCTTTGGAGAGAGGAAGGAGGTGGGACATTATCATTTCTGTTGCTCTCAACCTTTAGTAGCAGTTGTGGCGTGCATTGGACAGACTTACAGTTGTGATAAAGTAGAATGCTATCGTACACTTGCCTACAGTACTCAAAGTACACCGAAATCGAACAATAAGATTTTTCAATCCACTATGAAACTCTGCAAGGAATAGAAACGAACTTAGCCTCTACAGATCATGCTGTAACTTCAGTTGATACAAAAAGGCTCTAATGGCTTCATCACTTTTTGCTCTTTCACAATCATCTTTTATGTTCATCGACTGGCTATTTTTTCATGGTCCTCTAACGCCTTCGTTTAGCTCGAAGTATTCCCTTCTCGTTTCGATTTTTACACCCCATATCCAACCTGTTTTTTTCAGAACCGTGCACTATGCATGAATCATAGCCGAGATGCCTTTCACCTTCATTCTCACCTTCACCGTATCATTGGTTGCTGCTTTAGATGAAGGTAAACATCGAGTATTTCTGACTTAATCATTTGCTCCCGAGAAGAACTTAATGTAGCTGATATGATGTTGTGATAGATGACTATTTGTTTACAATTAAATGAATAAGTAAACAAAAGATTGCCGTGGTCCGATAAGGCCAGGTGAAGGCTGAATGAGTGAATTGGCCGGATAATCGTAGAAACCAAGTTGAGGAGTTTTTTCAAATTTGCTTCTGTATCCTGCCTTTGATCGAACCGATTACAGAATGCGCTCGATGTGACTTACGGTCGTCCTACTGTAAAATCTGGGACGATGGCACGAAAACGTGTGCATGTCGTGAAGGCTTTCAACAGCTTGCAAACGGCACTTGTGAAAGTACGGTAGTTCATTTGCCATGTAAAAATGCTTTTTTTGTTAAAAAATTTGGACAATTTGATTGACGATCCATTTCAGTGACTAAACAAGCAACTACTCAGATTGATGATCCTCTCGAGGAGCCTTTTTGTGTGCTTGGTCAAGCTGAGAAGGCTGCAACGAGGTGATTTTTCTTTCTTTTCCCCTCCTTCTAGGTTTACTTCTTCTGGGCTACTCGATTTACACATTCCTACCTAAACTACTCAAAACAGAATGAGTGCTCAAATTGACATGCTGTTTTTCATGTTTTTGTTTCTACTTCTGTTCTGATACTATTCAGTTGCTCTTGAAAGGTACCGTTACCGTAACATTTTTACGTCGTCTACAAAGCTCACATCTTTTTACTGAATAGTATTAGAGGATTCTAAATGAACAAACGTTCAACGGATCAGCACCCCAGAAATATGGTGGGTAGGGAGTCGCTATCCTTTCCAGCCTTGACGCAGTCATCCCTGCTGCATGTGATCGTGCATTGTGTTGATGAAAAAGCTCTTTCGTCTGGAAAAATAAACAAACATATGAGCAAAGTCCTTCTTAAACATGACGTTTCTCCAGTCTTTCCTTACTTTCCCCATCTCCTCGCTTACTAACGAGCACCAAGGAGGGACGAGCTCGTAGCACCGCCATCCGAATGAGGTGTTAAACGGAAGATCGCTACTTCTTTATTGTCACCAAACCCGTATTACCTGCCGTCCCGCTTATTATCGATCTGCTCGGACGGGCACCGGTATCACCTTCATACCTAACTGTCACAGGCCGAAAGGGTTGTTGACATTACAACTAACACTGAAATGAGCTAAGTTCAAGGTTTTTCCCTGCTTGATGGGCCCACCGAGCTGTTCTAAATTCGCTTTTCCAAGGAATGATCCATTAGGAAAGGACCCTTTTTCCTTGACCATTTCATACTCCTTCATTACGACTCTCAAGCAGCGAGGTCCTTCTCAGTCCACCAAAGTTTGTCCTCGAGGCCATTTGTCTTACATAGCTCGCGATTTCATATCGAAACTTCTTCTAAAGGATGCCTAAAACTTAATTGAAATTTGAGTAAACAAAGATAGCAGTTGATACATCTCATTGATTTTCTCTGCAAATACCTCACCTACTTGAAGTTTAATTTGAATGTTCTATCAAAGAAGGATATCCGAAGATCAAAACGTGATCACCGTATGTAGCCCGAAATAAAAGGGAAATCAGCTTCTTGTTTATGTTTCATAGGACCCTTTTGATTATTTTATTTTTTCCATGAAATTGAAAGCCTTCCTGGAAACTCTTGATTATTAACACCAATTAACTCGTCCTACAGAGAAGAATTTTTTGTAAGATTTCTTTCAATTTTTCCGATCAGCTCGATTTCGGAATCTTTGCCTCTCATATTCGATTATTGCGTAGTTTTTTTTTCAAACTAGTAGGGGAGTCGCTTTTTATTTCTCTTTGGTCTAGAATACTCAAAAAATTGAGCAAAAGCAGAAAATGCTTCCCAAATTTTTTCCAAAAACATTTAAAACATTAGGGAGGATTTAGACGGTTAAGCAGATCCAAGATCCCAGTGATTCTAAGAGAACGCAAAAAGATATCCCTTGATGGATTCGTGCCTCCCATACCTTGCATTTTTGTTATTCTCAAAGACATTATCCTTTACAATTTTCATGACAAATTTCGTTTTTGAGGATCTTGACCGAGCTGCTGTCGAAATACGATAGAAATTTGGTGCCAAAAATGAAAGGTGTCGACGTGGACGTTGAACTGCTTATTCAACGAGTCTCAGAGATTTCTGAAATCCAATCCGCCTCTACAATGCATATCCTCTTCAGTCAAATATGGCATGATCCAGGCTTATCATTTGAGGTGAGTTGAGGTATTTTCTATTCAGGTAGTTCTTGTATTTGATTGGAATGCGTGACGGCAGTTAAAAGCTAATTTGTTCTTGTGCTTCCCAAAATAGGTACCATTAGTTGTCTTAGTCCGAAAATTCTCATGTACTTTTCATGTAGATCGGATTTCTAGATTCTTTACTTTACAATTAAGGACTTGTGGGAGCTTTCAATATAGCCAAACAAATAATATTAACTTTTTTGGATAGTGATAATGCTTAACGAATGAATGAAAAATATGATTTCTTCTTCGAAGCCTTGTACTTTAGACCTTTCTTTCGAATTCCTGAATTCCTACTCTTCTTTTTAAATTTGCTCCCCTAAAAATCTCACCAACGGGATTTTTCCTACACATTTAGTTTCTCCTTTCTGAATTCTTGCGTTCTTGACCTTTACGAGTCAAGCATGACCTTCTTTCTGGAAAAAAAAACGAAAACAGAAGTAAAATAAGAAAAAGGAAAAAAAGTAAGGTCCAGCGCCCATGGCACCCTTGCTTGAGATATCGTATGCGTTCATCAATACCGTATACCACCCACATTTATGGTAAAAGGAAAGATGGACACGATAACATCCTGCCGCCTTCGATTTTATCATAAGTCTTAGCTTTTTATCTATGCTCTGCTTGGATTGTCATCATGGAAGTGGAAACACAACTAGGGATGCCCGTTTCATTCCCGGAATTGACAGTTCAGAATTTGGCACTTACCCGGGCCATTGTGGGTGGATTCTCGGAAAGAATATGCCAATAGTTTTTCTGCTACTAATCAATGGATTCGCTAATTGAGATCTCTTCAAAGCATTTTGTCGAAAATTCAGCACATTTTCCAGCATGAAGAGGGAGCTCAGTGCCTCACAAATCTGTCATTATCTCATCGAATGGTCGACAACATTTGGCTGCCGAATGTTTGTATAGTTAATAGCAAAGGTACACATCGTTTTGTAGTTTTTGAGTATAAATATAGGTGAACTGAAACGATAAAGGAGGAAGGGATGAAGTCTTTTGACGTCGGTCAATCCCGACTGAAGTATGCGCCCCGTGTTCGACTCCCATTCAGAATCGTAGGGAGGTTTTGAACGCTGTTCAGCCCATACAACGACTTCGGACGACCAGCCAATGTACAAGCCAATGCTTTATCGTCCCATACGAGTTTGGTACTAATTAACCGACCTCGAAGAGATCAAAGGCTTTATCGACCTGGGCGAGTATCGATCCGGGTTAGGATCTTATGACCTAAAGCGTGATGGTACTCCACTTGCAACTGTATCACGTACTCAAAAGGATTTTCAACGGATTGGGTCAGGAAGAGTCAAAGGGTCAGTCAAAATTCCAGCCCTATTCGGTGGTTTGCTTGGGTCTTCATGGTTCACACTTGTTTTTGCCAGCTCGTCAGATATGTAGATAACATTGGAATTTGCAGCTGCTTTGGTATTCGATAAAATTTCAGGCTCGGTAATCCACAAAAGCCCGACACCGAATATTTTTCTTGCAATTTTCCCAAATGGAACTGTATGGATGAATTACCGGTGAGGTTTTTAAAACGTTTGTGGGGTTTCCCGACGTATCAAAAACTTTCTTTTGCAGGATCGTTGTCGAGTCTCCGTGCGAAATGGATTTCAGGTTGGTTCTCCGTTGCAATTTTCTCTCACATTCCAAAGCCTTCTTTTGTCAGTAATGAAGGGCGATGAGGGGATTGAATTAGAAAACAGCAGAGATCGCTCCCACTGGTGAACTGGCAGAAATCCCGCGACCTAAAGGTACGGTCTGCTGGAAGCATTTGGGTGAAGGCTTCCAAACTCCATTACTTCACCATTGCACTGTGTTTCCTTAACCGGTGAACTCCGTCAGTCTTCTCAGAATGAGTTCTACCAAAACAATTGTCACCTACCCCGCTAGATACTTCCGCTACTGCCCTCATTCTGGACTGTGCCTTTTGTGTGGTCCCGGATGCTATTATGTAGTTGTATAGAAAAGGGTAGGGAGGGTTGGTTAGGGTTACCCATGGCACACTAGCACACTCAAGGGATCAAATCATAGGCGAATGCATTCTTGGCTTCTCGGCTCTGCTATTACTACTCAGCTGAACTTTTGACGGGAGAACGACAAATGCAGGGATAAAGCGCTTCCACTAAACAGTTCGATGCCAGTGGAAAGGGTATCTTCGGCGGTCTCGGGTGAAGCTGATTTGAGCCCCCACAACGTTATATTTGGTCCGTTATCTCAATCCACTATGCCACACACCCTTACATGGACTTGTGGGAGGCCAGGATTTCTGGTCGGTATGTGACCCGAGAAACAGTTTCGATAAAGAAACGAGAGCTCTTTGCATTCCTCCAAACTTACCTGAACGCTATGGAATTCGATCGTTCACTCTTACACTTGTCCGTGAGGGAACATCCGACAAACTCGTGTTCTTCTCATATTTCACCTGAAATTCGATGCATTCCCGTCGACAACCTGTCAGTCACCGTGATGCAGAAGTTGTTGAAATTCGACAACAATAAACATCATGTTCATTCGCTCGATAGATTTGAGGGAACCGCAGCTCTACTGCCAAACATTTACTACTTTTGATAGCGGATAGCCCTTCAGCTCAAGCTTCAGAACTCTGCGGAATCCAAAATGGCCATCAATTTTGAAAATTAAATCAATCGAGTCTTGAACTTGTCCATTTGTTTTTGTAAAAACTCAAGGCTGAAAGCGCTCACTGCTTAAGGACAGTACTAGGAGGTCCGGTAAGAGGATATGGGTAAAGTTGGAAATTGAGGGAATCTGGTGCTGATCGTCAGGATATGCCGTGCTTTTCGAATTATCGACCTATGACTTCCCTAAAAGCAGCTTAAAGCTAGTGGTTTCCTTCAAAATACTGTAGGATATGGCGGGACATTCCGGAACAGAACAGCGGGACCTGCTCAGAAAAGTTCTTCTCAAACAGCTGCCGACGAAACAACTACATCGGAATTCGCCCTGTTGTTGTATAATGTAGTCGTTAGTACTTTGAACATTGAACAACTAGAAAGTAATATGAGAGTAGGGTAATTTTCCATCATTTCTGTGGAGCAAGATATTCTCAAAAGAGTAAAGAGCTTTTTTGAGGAAATTACTACTTTAATTTTGAAGGGTGTGAATTTTGAACGGAATAGAAAGTTTGCTCCATGGCATGGAAACTAAACACGGCTGCAAGCATTCAGCAAAAACACCAGGAGACTCACTAAAGGAAAGCCTAACAATGGAGTTCCTTCGCAACAGTTTCCTTAAGCAGCGAAAGAAGTAAACACGTTGCACATGCTCAGAGCCGAGGTTTCAACAAAAGGATGAAAGGAGACTATCTAGGAAATATTTATTGAGGGGCTGCTTCTGTTTACTGAGGTTCCTTGCTTTTGCCGGATAAACCAGGAACTTTATTTTCCTAACAGTGGATGGCTTAACAGTTTCCTCCTATTCCTTCTGAGAGGGAAAGATACGATGGAGTCTTTTGACTTTGAATAAGCCTGTTTTCGGGATGTACGTACTTCTACATTTGATTTGCGTATGTGGCCCATGGAATGACCTGCGGTGACCAAATTATTTACAACTCACTGCTTTTTATCGTCCCAACGGCATCTGCTACCTATTGCCCAACCCCGAAGCGATGGAAGACTTGATTAACCTAGACGGATATCGATCAGGGATTTGAACCCGCGACCATGCATGCGTCTGAGATATGAAGTGCGCCACTGTGCGCCAGTGGAGTCAATCATGAGCTGCTGATCTTGTGATAGCAAGTGAGTGTTGGGAGCGGCTTTGTGGGGGAGGGGGGGGGGCAACTCTCTCTCTGTATGCTGAGGTCCACGGGATCAACAATTAAACGTGCCTACCACAAGAAAAATAATGTAGTTTTTCCAAGATTTGTATTTTCAGCTTCTTTCCAATGGATCGAGTTATGTGCACGACAATCTTCGAGAGTTACTCGTTTAATGTCGGCAAGGTAAACTGATTTCTTTGAATTCTAAACAGAGTTAGGAACATCAGCGAAAACCTACCGCGACAATTTGATATGGCTTCCCTTTTTGCTATAAGAATTCCCTTACTTTTGATAAGTTCCTGCCGATTTAACGATACGCAGCCGTAAGAGAAAAAGTTCATAAGACCTTTTTCACTGAAATCCTACCACTGAAAATCTACCGCTGAAGATGATCCCACTCAATGCATGTGGATTAAATGTGGAAGTTGAAGCTTGCAGCTTGCAAAAGATTACTGTAATATACGGAAGAAGGTCTTAAATAAATATAACCCCGGGCAGAGTTGGTGATGTCATAAAATGAGTTATGACATCAACGGGAGCGGAACTTCGTTCAATCGCTGTGGACGCTGGAGGAACCATTGGAAACAGAGTTGAGGGAACCAGTGATTGGATGACTGGGGATGGGACTGGGCCTGAAAATCGCACGAGAAAGCAAAAACATTCAGACTGTTCTTCTGTCGGATTGCGCCAAGCTTCTAATTATCGATTGGAATCGTTGAAGCAATTAGAATCGATGTTCGATTTACACAATGTTTCCGTAGTCGGCTAGATTTTAGTAAAGCGAATATCCCCATTCTTTCAAACAGAACAAGTAACGAAAGACCTGCTATGCATTGCTACGACCAAGTGTCACAGCTTGGATAGGCCTACCCCTGTAATTACGTCTTTGATCGTTCTTACCGCCCTTCCCCTACCATTTCCAATTTCGTTACCTCACTGAATCTATTGTTTTGTGCTTTTGTATTGAAAAATACCTCTCATAATAACTAGCATCGTCTTAGGCAATTATTTACATAAGTGAGCCTTTTTTGACATTACAAATTGTTTTTTTTTTGTGTTTCTCTAATTAGGGATTTTTGAGGTACGACTTCATTGGAAACGGCAAGGTCAACCGGTTGAATTCATAGACGAAGTGAAACTGCCCGATTTTCACATGACCACATTTATACATGAAAAAGCGACTTTTCAGTATCCTGCAGGAGTATGGGATCAGGTATGGACCGTGAGATGACCTACAGCTCACCAAACGTCTTTTTCTAGTCAAGATGCTCTTTTACTGTACTATTACTCACAAAATTTCTAGCAACATCTCTTCTAATCACGTCCTTTTTCAGCTGAATATAAAGCTATTCTTTCGACGATCATACGGGTTTTATATTCTTCAAATATATCTCCCTACTTACTGCATGGTGAGATTTCTTGAATCACTTTTTTCTCTGTCGGATTGGTTAATTAGAGCCTTCTTTCAGGTACTGATTAGTTGGATTTCATTCTGGTTGGATCGTAAAAGTCTTCCAGCCAGAGTAACTCTTGGTGTTTCTTCACTTATGGCTCTTACTTTGCAGTACAGTAACGTAGCTCGAAGTTTACCTAAGGTAAGCTTTATCAATCACGGCAGAAGCGATGAATTAATCGAATTTTCTCCTATGCGAAACCGCTTTCTCTAAACGACTTTCGCTAAAAAGGGTTCATAAGGCCCCCATATCAATCATTCTGAGGTTCGAGGCGTTTACCTCCGGTCCTGACAAGATTCACAACATTTCCCACCTGGCGTTTGTACTCTCTACCTGGTGGATCCTGTATTTGATTTCAGCGGTTCATGCTTGAGGAAGTAGGGAATCTGCCCTTTTTCTCTAACGCTTTCTTCTTTCAGGTGTCTTATGTGAAAGGCTTGGATCTTTTTATGTTCGGCTGTGTCGGGTATATTTTCTTATCCATAGTCGAACTGGCAGTGGTTGGAACACTCGAGAACAATAAACCAAGGTAAACGCGTCTTCCTACAGTTCTCCTACAGTATTCCCCACACATTTCCGGCTAAATCCTTAACAATTCAGATCCAATGAAGATTTTATGACCGAGGAAGAGATCAAAAAGAATGTCTTCCAAAGGACATTTTCGACCAAGAGCTTCCGTTCAGGCTATGTAAGTAAATGTTGTGAGCATACAGTGCGTTTCATAATTATAAGGACACCCTCGATTTTTGCGATTCTGGAGAAAGCAGTCGGAATGGAATTTTTCGGCAAATACTGCAAGATTCCTTATCACAATGTACCTCCGTATACAAATTTTGGTCGCAATATCCTTC